CCCCCACCCCGCGGGCAGTGAGGACGCCAGCACCCGCCGGGTCACCCATCCCGCCGCTCCCGCCCGCCCTACCTGGGCATGCGCAGTGAACCCCGCGGCCACTTCCGTGGGACTCAGGAGGCGGGCACTCCGGGAGGGCGGGGCGGGGGAAGCTCTAAAATCCCAACGTTCCCTGCGCGCCACGCCAAGATGGCTGCGCCCGGGTTTCGCTGTTTTTCCCGGGCTCGGTGGTTTAGTGCCCCAGACCCATCGGGGATCTTGTCCCTGGGGCTGCGAGAGGCCCACTCAGGCGCTCAGGGGCTGCTGGCCGTGCAGAAGGCCCGGGGCCTGTTCAAGGAGTTCTTCCCCGAGAGGGGCACGAACATAGAGCTCCCAGAGCTCTTCGACCGTGGCATCGCGGGCAACTTTCCCCAGACCATCTACTGCGGCTTCGACCCCACGGCCGACTCGCTCCACGTGGGGCATCTGCTGGCGCTGCTGGGCCTGTTTCACTTCCAGCGAGCGGGCCACAACGTGATCGCGCTGGTGGGAGGTGCCACGGCGCGCCTGGGGGACCCGAGCGGCCGTACCAAAGAGCGCGAGGCGCTGGACGCAGAGCGCGTGCGGAGCAACGCGCAGGCCCTGCGCCAAGGGATCGAGGCCCTGGAAGCCCATCACCGACAGCTCTTCACCAACGGGCGGGCCTGGGGCAGCTTCACGGTGCTGGACAACTCGGGCTGGTACCAGGAGCAGCACCTGGTGGACTTCCTGGCTGCGGTGGGCGGCCACTTCCGCATGGGCACGCTGCTGAGCCGGCTGAGCGTCCAATCGCGGCTCAAGAGCCCCGAGGGCATGAGCTTGGCCGAGTTTCTGTACCAGGTGCTCCAGGCCTATGATTTCTACTACCTGTTCCGGCGTTATGGATGCCGGGTCCAGCTGGGTGGGTCTGATCAGCTGGGCAATATCGTGTCCGGATACGAGTTCATCCACAAGTAAGCGCCTCTAGACCCGAAAACTACTGGGACCAAATAGTTTATACACGAATGGCCTGTGATGCACTGTTAGTAATGTGCAGTTACGACCTGTTCAAGCCCTTAGTGTTCTTTATCCCGATTGAAGGTTTGTAAAGGTGTTAATATCACTAGATAGTAAGAACTGAAGGGCTGAATTGACGGCGTTCGGAATGGGACGTATTCTAGAGCTCTGCAGGAACTAGACGCATAGTCAGAATTCGAATTCTGTTGTGCATCCTCTGTAGGTAGGTCTTCTGATTGAGAAACTGCTTTTCATTGTTTATACTAAAACGCGACCAGGCGTCCGTGAGTTGCCTCCGCTTCAGCTCAGTAGCTTCCGTGAAGCTAGTGATAGTCTCAACACAATTTTCTTTAATTCCAAATATTTGGCAAATACTGTAGATTTCATTGGCATTTTCTTGAGGAAGATGAACTACAGGGCTAGCGCATGTGCTATTCATTAAAAAAACTTCTCAAACATCTTTAGGAGCTCTGCCTGACTTTCCACTCTGTCCAGTTTTCTCATTTCCTACCCAGCCTCTAACATTTTCTAGGCTGTAGTTACTGCAGCACCTCTCGTTCCTTGCCCAAAGTCACTGGTTAAATTGCAGTTCGTAACAAATGCCAAACAGAGTGAGCGCTGTGAAAGCACGCAAGAGGGACACGAATCCAGGTTTAGGAGATCAAGGACGTTTTCTGAGATCCAGAGACCAGACTGAAAAGTGAGGAGTGTTCAGCACGACCTGCCGCCACGTGTACTGGAAGCACATACTGAGGTTCTTCTTCGTTGCACAGGTTGACTGGAGAAGATGTGTTTGGAATTACTATTCCTCTAATTACAAGTACAACTGGAGCAAAACTGGGAAAGTCTGCTGGGAATGCTGTGTGGCTGAAGAGAGAGAGGACATCCCCATTCGAATTGTATCAGTTCTTTGTCAGGCAGCAAGACGATTCTGTGGAAAGGTGGGTTCTTAACGGTGTGCTGAGAAAGACCAAGTTTATAACTCACGATACAATGTTAGCCACCGAATACCCTGTATAGTTTGTAGATTCTAGTGAAGGCATAAATCATTATATCACAAGAACACTGTTAATTTTAACTGTACTGAAGTTAAACATTTAAGTTGGTTAAAGAAGCAAATCAGCGTGGTTGCCAGAAAACAGCCAAGTTTGCAAATTCTTGGAACATTAATTCCTATTCTAGCTTTATCACTTCATCTTAAACTTGGCTAACCTTTATTTTACCTTTGCCTCTAAAAGTTCCTTTTCTTTAACATAAAATACCTTTTGAAGATCCTTTTTAAAAATGATTTTCTCATTGATTCATATTTTAAACTCTTGGAAGAGTTTTGGCACATAACTAAGTAAGCAGGACATCCTTTGAAGGATAAAGGAACTGGAGATAAAAATCAGGTGGGCTATATAAACCTGACACGTTATTTTTTGTCCCCAAGGTACCTGAAGCTCTTCACTTTTCTGCCCCTTCCAGAGATTGACCACATAATGCAGCTGCATGTCAAAGAGCCAGAAAAGCGGGGGCCCCAGAAACGCCTTGCCGCGGAAGTGACCAAGCTTGTTCATGGACAAGAAGGGCTGCATTCTGCTAAAAGGTGGCCTTTTACAAGAGTTAACACTTGATAAGTTATCGAGTCAATAGGCTTGAGAAAATTCACTAGTTATCTTGTCATTTACCACTAGAATAGCATCTGTTTATTGGAAAGATTATCTTGAATTAAGTGTATAAATTATAGGATAAATGTCACTGTTGTAAGAAGCCCCAGTCTGGGACATAACGGGCACCCCTTAATTGGTTACTGGGTGTTAGAACATGTGTCTGGATCAGCATTCACATGACGTGGCTCTCAAAAATGTGTTTCTCAGGTGTACACAGGCCCTTTATCACAGCAGCATAGATGCACTGGAGGTCATGTCTGATCAAGAGTTAAAAGAGTTGTTTAAAGAAGCTTCGTTTTCTGAATTAGTTCTTGACCCTGGAACAAGCGTCCTAGATACGTGCCGCAAAGCAAACGCCATTCCGGATGGTCCCCGAGGGTAAGATTATTTAACTTTTACATTCACTGTTAATTCAACACTAAATGTTACCATTCATAGCATGTTTTCAGAGAGGATAATGCCTTAGTGATGTCTGATTCCTTGCAGAAGTTAAGTGAATCCAAGAGTAAAGTGAAAACTTAAAAGAGCTTGTTGAAAATACTCTAAATTGTCTATAGCATTACTATACTGTCTCTCATTGTTTTAATCAGGTGGCTTTTCCCCCAGCCTGGAAAAGGCTTGCGTTTAGGGGACCACTATGGTCAGTACACACAGTAGGATCGGTCAGTTCAGAGATGGTCATAATGTGAGATCACAGGAATAAATGCCTAAGTGAACAGATACACACCGCACTCATATTCAGTCTGTATCTGTCTTCTTTACGGAGTAGAAAGTTTGCCCAACCTATTTAAAATATTAAATTTCTAAAAATAAAATAAGCATATTATATAACTTCATAAGACTATTATAAACTACATACTATTCCTCTTGAGAATTACATTTTCCTGGTTCAGGAAGTAGGTAGATTTTCATCCTCATTTATGTGGTGGTATGAGGGAATAAAGTGTTTCACCGAAAAGGAATTTGGCATATACTTGATGCTTATCCATTTATAAATGAAACTGCCATGTAGAAGGAGAAGCATTAGTTAGCCCCAAGACCTTGGGTGTCTCATCTGTAGGAATTCTAGCAGAAGTCACGTCATCATGAGATCATGCTCTTGATTATGAATGACACTGGTTATTCGATAGTTGCTATTTTCTCTCAATTGTTTTTTGTTATTTGCCTTTATCCTAAAGAGCCTGAGATTACTCTGTGTAGAGAAAACATCCAGTATCTTTTTAACCAGTACCAACTGAGAGACACTCCAGCCTTTTCTCCACTAAACAAGAAACCTATTATTTTGCCCATAAATCTGCAGAATCTAGTACAGTGGACACGAAGATAACAATTCAGTGCTAACTGATTTCAACTGGAAAGCCTCTGAAATTTAAATAAAATAATGGTGTTATCTGTGTTAGGGAGAGGTCACAATGACTGGATTTTCAGTTACTCAATATTTCCATTTTTAGGTATCGGATGATAACAGAAGGCGGAGTCAGTATAAATCACAGACAAGTAACAAATCCTGAGAGTGTTTTAGTTGTTGGACAACATATACTTAAGAATGGACTCTCACTGCTTAAAATAGGAAAAAGGAATTTCTATATTATAAAATGGCTTCAACTATGATGAAAAATGCTGACTGTTCAAACTTACCATCATTCATTTGCAAGATATACTAAAGGTTGACCCCGAACTCATACCTTCACTCACACAAATCAAACAACAGTAGTGGGGAACGGATTCGCAATGTGAGTAATTTCGTTATTTATATGGGTTGGTTAATAAATACGATTTTCTCTAATGATGGAATATTTTGTTTCCCAATCTGTAAGCATTAAGGACTATCATAGAAAACCATGATTTCCAGGGTTAATCTTTCTTATGAGTTGTACTTCGTGAAAAAACTAAATGCTATTTTTCTTATCCTATTCTTGCTGTCCTTGGAGACAAGGACAATGAAAAACAGGTGGTATAAGGAATTGTGGATACTTTTATATCAGGTATATCTCACAGTTCTCACTACGTAGTTGTTCTGATGCAAAAATCTAATTTTGGAAATGTAAATTTCTGATTTGTCCTTGTTTAGGAAGCTAATACAGTTTAAGAAGAAAAGTATTAGATGGAGCCCTAGTTGGCATTAACAGATTATAGTGGATAGTTCCCTTTGAAAGAAAAGAACAAAAATCAGTACTCTCTTTTACAGGAAGTTTCTAATTCGGTTTTCCTGTCCCTTGTATGTTTTAGTTTAATTAATTAAATACACTCACATCCTTGTCTTTTCAGTAGATAACTAAGGTTCGCAATATTTTACATCTGGAAACTTTTTCGTTTTGATTCAACTTCTGTCTCCAAGCAGACTGCAACTTGAAATAAATTTGTGAAGTAACCAAAAGAAAAAGTAGAGGCAAATATTATACCAATTATCCAATCAAATGAGACTATGAAAGACATTTACAGGTAAGGGACATTTTCAGGTCAAATTTAAAGGATTTAGAATCAGGACTTAGTTACACTCTATATACATTAAGCAAGTTAATTCTCAAAAATGTTTCCACATCTGAAAAACCAAAATAGCACCCTGAAAATCAAGTGAAACAAACACAATGGTTCACAATGTGATTTTTTTCTAGAAAACCTTACAGGTAGCACAGCATGGCTTTAATATTCAAATCCTCACCTAATGTACAAAAATGGAGATAAAAAACACTTCATGAGAATTGAATAGGAAACATCACAGAACTTTCATACAGTATAAGCTGTCTAGTTATGTTCCAAAGGAGATTTATATGTTAAAAAGCTATAGTTTATCTAAACCTTTCTCTGGGAATAAAATTAGGAAGAATTCATTTATTGACAAACTTTAATGTTATTCATACCGCAGTTTTATTTACATAGCAAGAACATACAGGTGTCCACTACAAATGAGAGAGAGAGCTCCGCATCTCAGAACTGTGCTGTCTGAGGCCGACAGCGGGGTTTTCTTTCCTTACGTCTCTCGCCTCTTTCTTTGTACAAGGTGTGTAGTGCCCGCCGGTGCACTGCCACAGCAACAGCATGTTTTTTGGTTTGAAATCTGAAATGGTGGGGAAGATGGACTGTAATTTTTTTCTCCCTTAACAAATCAAAAGGCTAGAGTGGTAGTCATCAGGTCTACCTGCAGTAAGTAAAGCATGATATGGCTATAATTTCAAGCTGATGTTTAATGACAGCAGAGTGATTCTAAAGTGTGTTAACAAATGGTTGGGTAACATCTTCTGTCAAGATGGTACCGCATCATGTCAGACTGCATCTGACTCTGTGTTTGAGATCAGCTGCTGAGCCTACTGTTTCTGAGTAAATGGGTACCAGAAGCTAAAGTTAACAGACATATTTATAGTCTCTGCCAGCAGTAGTTCAGAAATGTGACTTTTAAATGACTAGTTAAGAAACTTTAATATCTGCAATATGTAACTAACATGTTAGAAATGGAGCTAGGGATTTTGAGCCATTTCATAAATTTATAATGTAGTTCAAGAATCACCTGGGGAGTTTTCATAGAAGTGCATGTTCTAAACCTCAGCCCCTGAATGCAATTGGTAGTCTATAAGCCTTTAGGGCTGTATGTATGTGAATGTTTTTCCTTAAGTAATGAGGCTCCGCCAGTATTTTCATACCTCTGTCCTAATATATTTTGTTGGTGTGAAGCAAAACTAAGTACTACCAACCAGTACTGAGAGAAAGAATATATACTTCAATGTCCAGCACAGCATCTGGTTTTAAGTCCCACCTCCAAGTCTTGGTATAAATGCGCAATTAAAATATGTATCCAAATTACTCTACTTGGAAACCAAGGAGAATTTATTAGGACCTCTAAAAACAAGAATTGGTCATTATAAAGTCTTACTAGATAATCAAATCTAGATGGTTGTTTCTAACGCAGGAAAACGTTAATTGATGTTTCCAGATTTAAATAAGAATCAAAGTTTTAATGCACAAGGACAATGTGGACCCAGAGTGGAAGGGCTGTGTAGCTACACATGTGCACACTGCATCCCTGTCAGTGTTACCGATGCTCTTACACATTCAGCCTTCTTAACACATCCACTGCAGAGGAGCTCAATAAAAGTTGAAGGACAGGTGAAATACAGTGACTTGTCAACCCACACCTTTCAAAGCCAGATCAGTTTATATAGTGCATGCATTACAGTCGTATAGACGTGGTCTTGGCGCGTTCTCCTTGAAGGACTATGGCAGCAGCTTTAGGGCTACTAACAGATTACACAGGTCATCTTATCCACAGGCAAACAGCTTGTACAACTAGAACATTAACAGTTCTTTTTAAGTTCAGATGGAACTGTCACAAGACAGACTTGATGTATTTTATATATATTGGGAAACTGTAGAAACAGCCATTTATTATTTGGATTAAATGTATGATTTGTTCTGTAATAGAGATATAATTTTCATTTTATAGCCAGTCTTCACATGAGCAGATTCATACCATGGCAACACACAGGAGTTCATAAATAGAATTCTACTCAAGTAGGCAGTAACCAGCAAGTTGAGTCGACAAGGTCTCAGTATTACACAGTTCTCTTCACCAAAGATGAGTCTCTCGGATTTCAGCAATAATTTGACTGGCTCCTTGTAATGCCTACATTGAAGATAAAAATTTTTCACACTTATTAAGTTATGATATTAAAAAATCTGAATTGTGAAGTAATGTCTCCACTTTACGTATGGTAATTTCTACTACCCAGTATCTTCTCTGGAATTTGAAAAGATTAGCCATCACATGAAAACTACATACACATCCCAGTATCAGAATGCATTTTAAACAATAGTGTATGTATCTACAACCCAAGTGTGAAAATTCAAAAAAACAAACATCACAATACCTTTAGCATATCGGCGGCTTCTTTCCTGCGCTGCGCCATGTCCTCGGACTCCGTGAGAAGGTCATCCAGCAGGGACGACTTGTACAGCTGCCCTACTAACTCACTCTGAAGAGTGTCCTTCACATGATTCACCAGAAAATGCATCACTGCCTTTGGCACACTGCAAAACACAGCATGCGACCAATAATCCATTTCATTTACAATAAAAACCTAACTTTTGAAAATACATATATTTTCAATACGAATTATGGAATCACTCAGCATTACTATACTCCTCCATTAATTACACAGTACTAACCTGTCTTGAATATTTTTTCTGACAATAAGAAAATACGATTTGATGAGTCGTTCAATAACTTCACAGTCTCGCTGCTCACGGGCAGACAGTTTTCGTGCAACAGGAACTGGCTAAGTGGCAGGAGGGGGAGAAATAAAATAATTACTTCTTTGCCATTCTGAAATGGCAACAAAGTTCAGTACGTTTTTGACATGATTAGCTCCTTTTGTCCTTTGATGTGTTTCCTAGTAATTGGTTCTCTCACAAATCCTCAACCCCGTTCTCATGGCTTACCACATCCAGCAGATTCACAGCATGGCCTTTTTGTGGACTGGCTGGCATAATTGGAATTGGTTTTGATTTTTCCTCAGCTAGTAACTCCTCAGCTTTTGACATTTTTAGCATTCCTCTCCAGGTGCCTGTTGTTGGTTCTTGAGCACCATCTCCAACCCCACCTCCTGACGCAGCCTGAAGAGAAAAGGTATTCCAAAACTTACACCAACCATATCAAAGCTGATATTAACTAAACAAAGTTGATTTTCTTTGACAGTAGTAAAGAACACACATTCAGTATCCATCTGGAGTTTAATCTCCCCAGACAATAAGATCAGAAAAAGATGGTGGGCAGCATGTATAATTAGAACCCTGAGCTATCTAAACAACAGTCTGTAGTAAACTGTTTGCAAGGCCTCAACCAGTATATTTAATTCTCTTTTTTATCATCTGCTAACTTTAAAAAAGTTTTCCTCTTCTCCAACCCCTCTCACACTAGACGTGGAAAGTATAAGCTGTCCTTAAAAATGAGACTGCTCGTTTAAAAAGCACAAGGAAAAACAGAACTGCCACTCAGCTTAAATCCTTCAAAGTGACCTTAAACACTGTTGAACCCAAAGTCCCATGAACTCATGTCTACACAAATTAAACTGACTTTGGAAACACACAAACTTATGCTCCCAACAGTCAACAAAATACCCAGGAAAGTAAAATCTCTTAACACAAACAGGAATACCCTAACAGTCTAAGGCTGATAACTGTAAGCTGCCTAGGTGTGCAATGTGACCTAAACACAAATTTCCTCAATGTCTATACTCTTGAGAGAGGATCTGCTGAAAAATTAGTGCTACCGATAATCACAAATGCTTTCTGCACCTTCTTTTCTAGCATATCTGTTAGCCTTGATTTCTGCAAGATAAACGGACTGTTCAGGGATAATGGGAAGAACAGTAATTCATCAAGAGTGAAGAGATGTTTTCAGGGGCTTTAAGACCTGAAAATCTGAAATGGAGAAAAGATGACATCCAAAGTTTATAGATAAAAATTTAAATGCTTACATAAATTTAACAGAAGAGTGTTACAGCAATTGTTTAAAAAATGTCAGTTTTTCAAAACAAAAACTCAGATACAGAGAACAGATCAATGGTTACCAGAGGGAGGGGATGGGTGGAGGTTGGGGAGGTGAAAAGGGGCAGAAGGGAAGTCACTGATCACTGTGTAGTATATACAGATGTCAAATTATAATGCTGTAAACCTAAAACTTGTATTTTTTTTAAGTCAGGTTTTGGTATAATGCTGAATCAAAACACTGGCCAAAATTTGTCTGTTAAGATGAGTCATATCTAAATTTAGGCAGGATTTTAACATTAATTTTTAAATGAATGATTACATTTTCAAATGCCTGTTAACTCTACAAAAATTATAAAAGAAATCTTAGGGAAAGTGAGCAAATTCAGGCTGATGCCATAAGTGAAATAAAACTTAAGCGATGACTTAGTTCTCTTAAGATCTGAGCACAGAGGCCTGAGAGAAGATAAGGCATTCATAAAGCTTTATTTGAAGTTCAGAACCTTAATTCTAGACAGTAAGTAAGGAAAGAAGCTAAATGGAAAAAAAAAAACTTTAAATTATCTATAAATTATTCAGAACTACTCTGATTTCATTTCTCCCCAAAAAAGGTTATCAAGAACTGACAGTCTCAAACTCTCACAGTCCAGGTTTTGAGTGCACTTAGCTGTTGAGGCACATGTTAAGCTACATAGTCAAGGTTAACAATGCAAAATGAATGGAAGGTAAGAAAAAGCATGAAGGGCTTATCCATTAGTACTGGACAGGTGTCAACCTTTAAAGAGGAAATATCCAAAATCAGTTTCCATCTCTGGAATCTTAATTCCCTACCAAAATGTTAAATTTAAAACTATTCTTGAAGGTAATAAAAAACACTGGAAAAACCTATTATTTAAAACAATGTAAAACTAGAATTAATGCCATCTTGAAGAGTTAGATGAAGGAAAAAACGTGACACAAACAACAAGGGACAGATGCTACAGTACAAACAGGTTAGTGGTTTTGAAGACAATGTTTCATTGAGACCAAAGGTACCAACATTCCCATTCTGAAGCAAGGACTCACAGTTTTATTTTCTCTTCTGTTGTCCTGAATTAACTGTTAAAAGATATGTTAAAACATGCAGTTTAACAAGCAAAATTTAAATATCAATGGCTTGAAATTCAAAGTGTAGGATAATTTCCTCTTTAAATTACTTCTTTTGTGTGTGCATCTTATATATCGCAAGCAAAAGCATGTCAACAATTTATGAAGATACATTGTTACATAGTTTAGAATTTCCGTTAGGCGCAAGCATCTGACTTCGGCACAATATCCCGTGTTCATATCCTGCTGTTCAGTGTACGGGAAGGTTTCCCGACGCTTACGCCGCGCCAGAGGGGGAGGCATGCAGGCTTAGAGGGAGAGTCAGGACAGACCTTGCCATCAGCCTCAGCAGAAGCAGCGGGGGAGGGCTCCTGGGAGGCAGGTGGGAAAGCACTTGGAACTTTGTAAGACTACGGGCAAAAAATGCAGGGAAGAAAAAAAAATCAAGGATGCCAAAAACGCATAAAGAAACATTCTATAAATGTGAATTTTTACCCTCTATCAAAATAGGAAAATAACCTGAAAAACAAAAGTATCATGGGACAAAATGTTCGTTCTTCTTTATTTCCTGTACTATTATCACCTTTGTCAAAGACTTTCTTCAGATGAATGCCCACAAATAATCCAAATCCAAAATCTTCCTATTTTTGGAATTTGGTAAGTTCTTTTTTGATGAAGAATTCAAGGTAACAGATTTTATAAACACATTTTAATGTATCCAATTATTACAGATACTCCAGATTAACTAAAACCTGTTATGTTTATAATGTCCTTCCTCTTCAAAAAACCTTATTATAATAAAGTCATTAGTCATTTCAACTAATTTTACAAACATGGTAAAGTCACTGAATTTTTTTTAAAAAGTCTTTAAAAAAAAGAAGTCTTAATGCTTAACATCCACCTTTAAGCATTTATTCCACTGTATTCAAAAATATTATTTAAATTACTCAAAGCCCATTTTTTAAAATTTGCATGCCTTTTCTCAGTTAAGTAGTTTCAACGGAATATTAAAGGGAGGAGAAGAAAAATTACTCCTAGAACTGAGTAATATTCTGAGGCTTACCAGTCCATCTTTGCATTTGGAGAACATGTTTTAAAAACTTTTTTTTACCTTGTCTCGTGGTACAGCTGAGGGTAGTTCTCTTGCTAGCCTGTTTCTCCTTTGTTCCTATAAAACACAACCAAGTATATGTAACAACTGATTATCAGAGAATTGAGATGTAAGTCTACTAAAAATTGCTCAGTTTAATTGAAAAGTGTGAAATAACTTACAGAATATCCTCTCACTGTTGGGACTCATGCCATAACTATATTTTAAAACAAATCATTTAACCCAATGCTTCTCAATTTTTTTCTGCCTCAACACACCTGAGAGAGAGAATATGTCAGTAACAGTGGCTCCCTGTACCAGGGATTCCCACTGAGGCAATGGACCAAAATCCTCTCTGCCTTGCCCCCTAAGTTCAGGATCATTGAGGTAAACTGCCCCTACGTAGATGTGAACATAAACCTACAGCACATATGTCAAATGCAAAGTGCACAGACCACAGAAAACTTCAGCAAAGACTTTAGAAATCTTACCACATGTACATTTAAATTCAAATCAACAGGTACTGACTTCTATCAAGCACCATAATAGGTGTAAGACAAGAAAATACAGAAAGTTGTAGGTGTTATTAATGGTGCTCTCACAGGCATCAAATACATGCAAAAGCTTTTAGGTTAAATAAAGTCAAATTGCTCCTAAGCAGAAAGTATTTCATGAACACTCTTAAACTTGCAAAAAAGGTGTAATTTAACAAAGTTTCACAATTGTGTTTTATGGACAAGAAATTTGACCCACTTTCATTTTTTTCATGGGAGGTAATTCAGTGATAAAATATATGGATTTTACCATTTTCAGAATAAAAAGTTACCAGGTTAAAATGTACACTTTGAAGAGGGACACAAAGCAAAAGCCCAGAGCACCTGGAGACCAGAAATTCTCACCCTAGTGTGCTATCAACCAGTTAAACCTTTGCTGGCTCTGCAGCCCAACAGTTCTGGCTGATTTATTCCGTTAATTGGACAGGTTACCAACTCTGTAAGCATTAGTTTCCTAGTCTGTTAACATTTACCCTCACAGAGTTGTTGTAAAGATAAATAAGAATATCCACATAATGGTCTTTGCACAGAGTCATTAAAACCAGAGACACGATTTTGTAGGAAAAAAATGATCTGAAATTATATCATAAATGAACTTGTCAATATCACAAAAACTTCTAGATACACATTTTCCATGAAGTTGGTTTCACTGTTACAAGACCTAAACTCGTATCTTAAATCTCTACATGTTAAATTTCAACATAACTGTTAACTACTCTACCTTCCGAATGTCATAAAGTGCCTCACTGCGTGCATTTGGAATACCTTACGACAATACAAGTCACTTGAGCTAGTAGCTAAAAACCCGGTCCCTGTCCAGTTAAAGGGAAGGTGTGCATTTCCTCTAGGAGTGCCTAGCAAAACAAGCCCCCCATTAACAGCTGCCTTCATCTGTGGGCCTCAGGCTCCTCGTCTGTTTAACGGAGTTGAAGTCAATAAATTAGGGTCCCTTCCAGTTCCCAAATGCCATGTTTACAATTCTCTCTACACCCATATGCGTGAGGAAATTCAATACAAAAGGGAACTCTGGGGTCTTCCTGAATTAAGGAGTGGCAGGAAAATATAGTGTTCTTGAATAAAGTGGCAGAGGAAAAAATCGTTTCCAGATAAATTGCTCTATCCACCAGCATTGCCCCACTGAGATCTTACGCAACTTTCAACATTAACCTCAAATAGAAAGAAAAGATCCGAGAAATGCAGCCGCATCAGCAGTGGTGAAGAGCTTTTCCACATTTACTATAATTTAGGTAATTCTTAGAATGTTTCCTCACAGCTTTCAGAGTCAAGTGAAAACAATTTTGAACATTCACTTGGTTTTACACACTTAAACTTGAATAAACCACAAACAGTTACTGAAAAGGAGCCAGGCAGTCCTTCATCACTAAATCAGTGAATCTCAGATCCTCTCAGAGTCACAGTTAAACAGAAAATGAAAATAATGCTTCCAAGTGGTTCTGAGAGTCAAATCTAAGAAAACAATGTAATGCTGTCAACATAACTTCCTGGCATATAAAAGACAATAATATAACACAATAATACGCTTCATGTATGTTTCATATTTTTCCATACTCAATACATTTGATACAGCTATTAATTACAACAGATTTTCTCTCTCGAAAAATGTAATTCCTCTTTGTATTTACCTCTATGTTATTGTTCATTAGCCCACAAGCATCAGCAAAGTCCGGATGTTTTGTATTAATGTAAGCCAATTCAATTGCCACTAAGTTATGGACCTAAAGAAAACATAAACATTAGGCGCTATACAAAATATGTCTACCTGATTTTACTTTAGGACACATAAAACTTACCAAACAGATAATTCTAAAAAGTACAGGAAACTAATGCCTAAATAAATACTTGATAATTATATTCTAAGTGATAAATGTTATGCCAAATAATAATTGGCTCTTTTGAATTATTTTTTAGCATCTAAGATTGCATTTCTAAGGCAGGAGAAAAGGTAGAAGTATTTTGTTAGGGAAAACAACAGTTACTACCCGATACAAATCTAAGTTCCCAAGCCTTATGCAACTTTGCTATTAAAACCTCAGACAATCCACTATTCATGGACAGTTTTAGTTCAGTTTCAACAGTAAGAAAACATTTCATAATCAGATACAAGTTAAAGATGTTAACTTTATTTGGGTAAAGGATACATTTAAAGACCTAAGGTAATGATAGATTAGCCTTAATTATGAAGCACCCAGTTTAAATACTGCATATAGTTCAAAATCCTACTGGGACAGTAATCAAAAGGAAAGTTTAAATTAGTTTCTCCAGTGTTGCAGAGATTAAACCAACTCCTTTATTTGCACTGTCCTGACAAATCTCAGGTACCAGAACAGCATTGGCAGGTCAAGAACCAGGAGAAAAGGATTCAGTCAAATGAAATTCCAAAGGTTCTGCGATATCAGTGGGTAGAGTCTGGGATCAGATTAACTATGTTCTTACTCATATGACTGCTAGGGAAACAACCAGGCGTGTCCCAAGAATGGTTTTACACTCATAGTAAAAATACACTGGGGCTCACCATCCTAAGCCAAGAACCCAACTGCATTTTTAGTAACCAGAAAGGAAAAATCAAACAAAACAAAATACCTAGCCAATGATGAGGCCTTGAGGCCTAAGGGCAATTTCAAATGCTTATCCCATATTTCTGCCAATTCAACACTTTAATTTGTAAGGATAGAAGCAACCACAAAATAGCAGCATCCAGCCATAATGTCACACTATCAGGTCATTAAACAAGTGGCCGGATTACCCTGCACACATTAAGAGTTAAGAGCTTGCTATGAAGGCTCAGGTTGCTGGGGCCTGAAGAAGAAACTAATTTTCCATTGGATCAGTGATGCTACATATAGAGCAAAGTAAGCTACTCACAGTCCTCAACAGGGACTCCATTCTCATTAAAACCTATGCCTATAGGCTAACAATGATTAAAATACAAAGAAAAATGCACTTGATGCCAGATTAGTTTCTTTTGAAATAAGACTGAAACGCCCTTCTTTTTCTTTCCAATATAGTGGGAAGCAATGTACTAAATTCTGAAGTAAATAATGCTGTACAAAAAAGTTTGTATGAAGACTGACTAAAGTGATGATCTGTGAGATAAGAGCTCACCATTTCATTTGTAACAGGCAACCGTTTACGGAGAAGACAAGTCACTACTTCAACTATGGCATCATGAAGTTTAGGAAATCGCAACAGCTCCTACATGTGATGGAGAAAAAAAACACAGCAGCCTATTTTGTATAAAGGAAAATTAACTGGCACCGAACTCCCGGTTTAGATTTAGAAGCTACACTTCAAATCACTTTAGTTCTGGGACCAGCAGATGTTATGTACGTCTTCCCACCCCACGAAGCGAGCATGCCGTGCCTCACTACTCAGTCCGAAGGCCTCCGGTCTCGCAGTCACCTGTGTACTGTAGTTGCTGCAGTGCTGAATGATCCTTTGCATCTCTTCATGAACCAGTTCCACACAACGGAGGCTGGGCTCTTCCAGACGTTTGATTTGCCGCTTAACCAGTAACTCGAATGAGACTTCAGGCACAAACAAAGCAGGACGAGGACCCTAAAAATTAAATTTCTGAACTGTTACTATAACTACATAAAACTTTAGTTTTTCCTAAAGGTTAAAATAAATCACATTTGGTATTTTTCATGAAAAGTGCTTCCAAAGTATGAGCACAGAAACACAATTCATAAAAAAAGATAGTTAATGGGCTAAAAAAATAAAGCTTTAACCTCATTTGAAAGATTTCCAGAAGTTGAGCATACTCACAGTAGCATTTCTAATGGCAGTCAAAATGTCAATAGTGTTAAGGCCACCCAGCGGGTCAACAGATTCTAAGGTTCGCCCAAAAGTCTCATGGAAAATGTAACATATTCTAGCACCACCGCATCTGAAAGGCAAGGAAGGATATAGTTTCTACTATTATTGAAAGAGAAGATGCCACAAACAGAAGGTTCTCCAAAAGCTCTAAGCTTGTCTCATTTTCTGAGAAATTCTCAGATAAACAATTAACATTTGGAACATTCCCATTTCCATGTGTTCTCAACTCCATTATGAACCAGCTTCTCTAATTTTTTTGAATGGGGAAAGGGGTCATGCCATGACAGGCATTCACACATGTGTGTGTGTGACACAGAGTAATTGCTGTCAGAAAACATCAGTTAACTAAGAAACATCTTTTCTCTGACCTAAGTTTCATTCAACTAGACCATAAGCTCCTTAATGATAAAAGCAGTACCTTACTTACATCTGCTCATTCACAGTCTAGAGAAGAGGCAGGGCCAGACAGCAAGTATTTTAAGCTTTTCAGGCCATGAAGTCTCTGTCACAACTACTCTGGCTCCAGGGCTGAGCACAGCCACAGACAAGATGTGACCAGCATTAGCTGTGTTCCAATAAAACTTAAGTGCACTAAAACTGGAATTTTATATAATTTTCACATCACAAAATATTATTTCATTTTTTTACAACCATTTACATATGCAAAAATCATCCTTAGCCAAGGGCCATAGTTTGCCTACTCCTGGCCTTAAAGGAATTGAATCTCTTGGCCTAAGTGCTGGGCAATCATGTTTCCTATCTTAATGACTAGAAACCCTGGTATTATCTTTTATTTTTTGATTCAAGTCCCGTTTGATTCTACAAATACCCTTATGTCTCCCCAATCATCCTTTCCTGTTTCCACCACTATCATTTATGACTTTTTACAGTGTCTGAGAAGGCAGTAGCCTAGCATCATGCTAAGTGAAATAAACCAGACACAGAAGGGCAAATATTGTATGATGCCCTTTATATGAAATCATCGAGAATAGGCAAATCCATGGAGACGGAAAGTAAATTAGAAGTTACTGGGGCTGGGAAAGGGGGGAACAAGGAGATATGGCTTATTTAATGCATACAGAGTTTATGTTGGGGTAATGAAAAATTTTGGAAATAGATACTATTTGATGGTTGTACAGTAACATGAATACAATTAATGCCAATGAATTATACACTTAAAAATAGTTAAAATTACCAGTAATTGATCTCTGCCTCCAACCTTTCCCTTCTCCAAATGCTTTTCCATTAATGACCAGAATTATCCCCCTTAAAATGGGTCACTCCTCTAACCAAAACTCTTTTATTTATTATAGTAGGAAGTTCTCCAGATTCTGAAGATATTTAGGTTTTCACAGTCTTGTTCTTAGACAGCTTTCCTCCCTTACCCTGTTAGGCCCCATCACCATACATGCCATTCTCCAGATACACACTGTATGTGTTATATGCACTTTTCTGGACATTATATTTAATAAATAGTATTTAAGTAAAAACACTTGATTTACTCCTTTTTGCCACCTTATAAAGCCTCATATCTTGACCTGCCTTATTCCTAAACTCTTTAAACGTTCACCTTAGTAATCTTTATTGCCCTCAATATGCCACATACATAACCATTCAATAATTAGTTCTTTAAATACTTTCTTTATGGAGTTAACTCACATAAAAGGTCACCTGGGTCACAAAGGTACACAGAACTACATGCATGTACACACAACACACGAGTACATGTATAATTGGTGAAATCTGAGGATTTCTCATGGTTACTATACTATAGTTAAGGAAGATGTCAGCATTGAGGTAGGTCGGGTAAAGGGCAAACAGGACCTCCCTGTACATTTATTTGCAACTTCCTGGAAGTCTATAATTATTTCAAAATTACAAGATTTTTTTTAAGTGAGAATTTAGAGAAATGGACATTCTTATATATTGCTGGTAATAAAACAATATAGTCTACAATAGTACGGCAATAATAAGAGCCTTTGAAAAGGTTATATCCTTTGATCTAGTAATTCCACTTCTAGTTTACCCTTTTACTTGAATACATGTCCCAAAAATAGTTCATCACACCATTGTTTGTATTTTGTGTATAACTGAAAACAAATTATCAATAGTACATGAGAGGTTCAACAAATGAGTGTATCTAAAAAGTAAAATACTATGTAACTCTTAAAATTGATTAATACACATAGTTAATAATAGTTTTTTGTGACATGTCGATTCCAAAAAATGATTCCAAAATAGCATGTATAGCATCTGATTTTTAAAGATGTGTAATACAGTCATTTATATGTTTTATAGATGCATGGGAAAATGTCCAGGTTAATGCTAAAATTGGCAAGGGATTATTTCTGGATGATGGAATTAAAGAGCAATTTGGTCCTCCTGGGCCAGCCACTTATGGGGGTTCCTCAAATACAATCCAGTAATTCTACCTCTGGGTGTATACCCAAGGAAAACAAAAACACAAATTCAAAAAGATACATGCATCCCTATTTTTATTGCAGCATTATTTACAATAGCCAAGATACGGCAGCAATCTAAATGTCCATCAATAGATGAATAAATAAGATGTGGTACATACATACAATGGAGTATTACTCAGCCATAAGAAAGAGTGAAATCTTGCTATTTGTGACAACATGAATGGATCTAGAGGGTGTTACACTAAGTGAAATTAAGTCAGACACAAATACCATACGATTTCACTTATAGTGGAATCTAAAAAACAAACAAAAAGCTCAGAAACAGACTCATAAATACAGATAACAAACTGGTGGTTGTCAGAGGGAAGGGTAAGAGGAGACTGGCAAAATGGGTAAAGGGGATAAAGAGTACAAACTTCCAATTATAAATTCCAATAATAAATCAGCCAGTAAGGAGGATGAAAGGAACAGCACGGAAATACAGTCAATAACACTATGATAGCTTGGTATGGTGACAGGCTTCACTCATCATGGTGAGGATTTTATAATGTATATAAATGTCAAATCACTATGTTGTATACCTGAAACTAATAAAAAAAGTATTTTTGTCCTTGTTTTATTCTTCTTACTTTTTTTTTTCATAAATTAGTGTATTAGACAATTAAAAAGTTAAATTATGAAATGTTTAAATGTTTATCAATTTAAGTCCTGTTTAAAAAAACAAACTGAAATTTTTGCTGTACTTTAATCTACCCATTCAGTTTACCAGACCCATAGAAAAATTTCTTACTTACAGCTCTGAGGTTTCAATGTATTTTGCAGTTCCTTCAATAGTGTTACAATATTCTGTGGCAAACTTGGTAATAAGCTGGAGTAAAGTAGCACTTTTATCATCCACAGGCTCACCATAGCTGTTTAGCAGAGACTGATACTGAGCAGCTAGAACATTTATTCTTGTTTTCAACTCTGGTAAGCAGTCTCTAATGTGATGCATCAGTAACCTAACAGAAGTCAGAAAGGAAGGACTTTAAAGTAAATCTGTGTATTTTGAAGACCCAAACAGATCAAATATTTAAAACTTAAAGAATGGGGAAACCTGTCAAATAATGTCTTGGCAGGAAATACCGCAATCTTAGAGTACAGGTAAATTCTTAGACTGAAATAAATTACATGAAGAAAACTGTCTTGGTCAATGCTTTTTAAATTTGCCTTCAACCTACCAAACTATAGCAACTGCGAGAGAACCAAATGTAAGTTGAAAAAATTATTTTTATATTTATTGCAGTTACCTCAAAGAAAGTAAACTACTCAATCCAATTCTACCTACATCATTTTGGTTTTCTGTCTTTTACAATGGGTACTCATAAAAGTGAAAATCAATCTATGAGATCCGAGTCCACCAACCTTTAATATATTTAGAAAATATGGTAGAAATAAGAAAAAAGAGCTTTCACTTCAGTCATTTATAAATTATCTAGAATAATCTTCCAGTCCCTCCACCATCAGTAGGTATTCAGAATTCAAGGTACAGAGCTTAAATTATTTTTATGGATAGGAACAGAAGACATCCTAAATTAAGAACAGATTGTGTGAAAATCATAAATGCAGTTCCTGAAATCCAAAGTGTAAATGAAATGATCTGCTATCTAGTTCTACCAACAAAAGTAAACAGTCAAGAATTTCATAATTAAGACATTGTCACCTTGAGTATTCCTGGACTACATGATAATTTAATTCCAACTACCCCAATAAAAACACACATCTACATTACAAGAACCTCTGTATAAGAAACAAAAAAATGCAAGTGTACACACAAGAACATTATGAAAATGTAAAGAATGGAAAATGAAAGGTCTCAGATGCCTATTGACAAACCAAAAACATCTCATTTCCAAAGAGGTAAAAGACGTCACCTGTTTAGAGTCCTAGCAAGATACTTTGTTCCATTTCTATTAGCCAGAGATGGGTATTTCTTTTGAAGGAAAGCATATTCATCCCGGATTGAATCAGTCACACTCTTCTTATTGTTAATATCTAGCTGGCTCCTAAGGTTAAAAAATAACAGAACTGTTCAACTCAAGTCAACTATGGTCCTGTACGGACCTCGAATGTACTGACAGCCTGTAACTGATGATGACGGTGGCAGCACCAGCCATTGTCTGTAATGCCTGACATGGATTATTATTTAATTCTCACAATCACAATAAGTCTATGTGATAAGTATCACCCCGTTTTATAGCAAAGGAACTTGAGGCTCAGGTGCAAGGTGCATTAATAGCTTACCCAACGTCCACATTAAGTAGTTCAGTGGAGATTCAAACTATGTAACTTAAAAGAGTAAGTAATGCCTGAATAGTTTAGGCCTCACTATTGTCACTAAGGACAGTCAAAAGCAGTACTCTGAAGTCACGAGGACAGACATATGAAAAAATGTGTCTTAATCAGCTGTGCATTTTAACCATGGACAGGCAACTAATTTCTACCAAAAAGAATTATGTTAACTTGAAGAGCAGTCATCTATAAATACAACAGACAGTTTTGTATCAGCTGCTTGTCTAAAGAGGGAATGGGAATTTTTAAAGGTTGGAGTATGGGTGAGGTAGAACATATGAACAGCAGCTGACAACTGTAATGGACTTCAGATACCACTTAGTAAAAACATGTCCATCTTAAAAGGTCTGAGACTCAAAGATGTCCAGTGTCATTTAAACCCACATTATATGTGGTTTGTAGACAAACTAGGCCTACAACCCAAATCTCATAATTTCAGCGCTTCCTACTCTATAAAGGCTTTAGGCTTAGATCTTCATTTGAATACATCTCTGCTTTCAACAGCCATGTGACTTGGTAAATGTATAGCTTGAGTTTTCTAATTACAAAGACAGACATCACCTATCTCACAGGGCTGTTGTAAGGGTCAAGAGATACCATTCTCAAATTGCTCACAGTACAGTGTCGAAAATGTAATTAGACACTCAAAAGTGGTTAATGCCCTTTCCACAATTTTAATACCAGCTCTATAATTAGGGTACTTTTAATAGCATTTCTCCAAGTCACATCCTAGCAATTTAAAATAGTCACTAATGCTAGGGGTTAAACCAATCTACCAAAATCCTACCACCTTAACAAACTCTTGACTGGGTACAAATTAAATCGTACTTAATTTTCTTCCATTTTGTGGCACTGCTTACTTTAGAAATGTTCTCCACTAAAAGTACCTACAGGAGGCTTTAGTGAATCTCTTCCCCTTTTAGAGCAATGAATTCTTTAGCAATACCAAGATTATAGTAAAAGGGGAACAAAAAGGAAAACTATTACATTTCAGGCTGATTTTAAAATTCAAATTTGCTTTGAAATGAAAATGTTGCAATTCTTATCCCATTCTTGTTTGCTAACCTGTTAACTATTCCAATTATTCCAAGTTTAACTGGTATGACTCTTCCCATCAAGACATCCATGGCATCAGTACCCGCATCCATGAGATCAAGTTTAGTGATTACAGCTAGGGTTCTGCGACCTGGTAAATGCAGGAAAAGAAAAGAAAATGACACATTAAATAAAGCTCTTAAGTATTAATTAAAGAAAACGTTCACCTATATAATGCCACCTAATGTTACCTGTCATTTTATATTGCTTCTCTAACCTTTGCTTACAAGTACTTTTTAAAAACTAATTTTAATCATTACATACAGCCTTTAAATTTTTCACATGAAATTTTTTATTAACTAAGGGCTAACATTTTAAGCATTTTTAAAACTTGTTTAAAATTTACTCAACTCATTCCTAACGTACAAATCTCTGAGATTTGACAAATGCAGTTATGTCCCTACCACCTCAAGACAAAACAGTTCCATCAGCCCCCAAAATTGTCTTGTACTACCCAGTCTAACTCATTTTCCATTCCTGGCATTGCCTTCCCAGAATATTATACAAATGGAATCATACATAAAACCTTTTAATCTGGCTTCCTCCCCTTGGCATAACCCTTGGCATATACCCACAGCTCATTCCTTTTCACTGCTGGGTGAAATATATATAGTATCTATGTGGTGTTAGCGCTATGGAAAAAATTAAGCAGAAAAGCAGATGATCCATGGTAAGGATAAGCTATAGTTTGGTTAGTTATTTCCCATTTGAGAAACATGTGGGTCGTTTCCAGTTACAAGATTACAAATAAAGGTACCACAGATATCTGCATACAGGTTTTTATATGAACACAGGTTTTCATTTAACATGGGTAATGGACCTGCTGACTTAACTTTTTAAGAAACTGACAAACTGTTTTTCAAAGTAGTTACTCATTTCACACCAGCAATGTTGTGAGGGTTCCAGGTGCCCTGCGTGTGTCCAGTTTTACACACATTTTCCCTGCGTGTGTCCAGTTTTACACACATTTTTCAATTATAAGCATTTTTCTGTATTACTCTAAATCTACGAAATCATGCTTCCTAATGGTTTCACATTCTACTGTTATCTTAATTTACTTTACCATTCCTACTGTGGGCCACATATTATTGGTTGTTGTTTTTTGATATGATAATATATTACGAGATTAAGATTACTAGATAAAAAGTATATTTCATTGGTCAAGGGTCCATTTAAATAGAATTAATGCATATAAAATGCTTAACAGTTTACTTGAAATACTAAATTTTAAATGAGCATTTGGTATTCTATCTTTTCATCTAACTAAAACATAATTATTCATGTAGTAAAAGTTTCTTAGGAACTTGAAATAATTTTTTTTAAACATTTTTAATTATTAGAATTACAGGAACTTTTATTAGCAGTCTTAGCACTAACATTTCAACAAAATTTTATTTGAAATTCTTTAAAGCAGGAAATAATGACACAACCCACAGACCTCCAAATAATCAGGTTAAGAAAAACAGCTCCTGTGTGGAGCAAAGCATATATTTGTTATCAGTAATAACTACTCTCTTACAAGCTGACATTTTATATAAACTAAGAGAAGCACACTAGAGCATCAGTCAAGTTATGATACATTGACCCAGTGTGAACTAATCCTTAGGTTTATGAACATGCCATCAAATGATCTGACCTTCATTTCTAAGAATCCCCTCTGCCCTGAGCATGTCTAAATGTTTTTTTCCTACCTATTCTAAATGTAGATATAACTACTTACTATACCATAATAAACTACAATAATTATCTACTATGAGAGTTAATTATTCTTAGAAGTCAGCCATTCAAAAACCTAAACTGAATAAGAAACTTTTTGCAAAGCCATCTTACGATTTTTAAAATCATTAGGTAACCATTACAAATATGGACATTATTTTCATAATATATTTTTGCCTCACCTGTACAGCAATTTATCCACTGAAACTTCATTTTTCATCAGAATTTCTATTTGAAACTATGAGTAAAATAGGAACACATTATTTTTTAAATCTGTATGGACAGCTAGAAGTATTCCTTTTTAAAATTAAAAACTCCTTTCCTGAGGGTAAATTTACCACTGTTAGCAGAGCATCTCATTAAATGTTCACATCTGTCCTTACCATCTGGGTCTACCTCTCTCGAAATTTTCAGTGCCTCTGATGTTGCCATATCTGTGTTAGCAGCGGTGACCGCGAGGATGATGGAATTTGGGTTACTGATGAACCGAAGAATGAGCTCTCTGATTTGAAGCTCAATATCCTTAGGTTGATCACCTACAGGCACCTGAACCAGAGATAAGCAAGGAACCAGTAATAAAAATAAATTCGTTTCTTCCCCCATTTAATCTACCTAAAAATACCTAAAATACAGGTATTATTCCATTAACAGATAGTTAAAATGAAGAGATTATATACTACAGTGGTATACATGAACTCGGAATAAATGAATATGGAAGTCTCAAAATGTAACTCTTGCCAAGTATTCACTTGCATTCACACACATTCACTCATTCATTCATAGAAAGTATTTACTGGTAGGCCACTGTATTTCAGGTTCTACATGTCAGATTATGTCACAGTAGTCAATTAAAAAAAAAAAGACCAAAATTCCTGCCTTCATAAAGGTTATATTTTAGGTAGGAGAAGCACATAATAAACAAACATCTATAGTATCTATGTGGTGTTAGGGCGATGGAAAAAATAAAGCAGGAAAGGAGGCTAGGGAATGATTAGAGGTTATACGCTTAAATTATTATTTCAAATTGAATCATGCTTTTAAACAGAGTAATCAGGGAAGACCTCACTCAGATAATGCAATTTGAGAGAATGACCAGAAAATGAGATAGAAGGAAGAGGTACATGCATTCCATGTGGGAACAGAACATTCCAGCAGAATGATGAGTAGGTGCAGAAGACTGGAGCAGACGGAGTTAGAGCAGTAATAGGGGTAAACCAGGCAGATACTTCAGATCTCATCAATAACTTAGGCTTTTATTGTGAGTGGAATGGGAAGCCACTGGAGAGATTTTGAGCCAAGGAATCTAATTTTCACTTTAACAGCATCACCCTAATGCTTAGTTAAGAATAGACGATGAGGAAGACCTGTTAGGAGGCTATCACAGTAATCCAGCTGAGGTGACAGTGACCAGACCAGGATGGCAGCTACGACTTTGTAAGACATGATAAAGTTCTGGATATATTTTAAAGGTAGGAAGCGCCAAGAGGATTTGCTGACAGACGAGGAAGTAGGGGCTGGGATAAGAAGTGTCCAGGATGACTACAGACTTTTTGGTTAAGCAAATGGTTACTGACATGGGGGAGACCATAGAAAGATCAAATCAGGTTGAGACGAAGGTCAGGAATTTGGTATTAGACACATCAAATTTGAAATGCCTATTAGACATTTAAGTGTATAAGTCAAGTAGACAGTTGGATATACAAATATGGAGATATTTGAATGCCATCAGCATGCAGACATTTATATATTTAAAGCCATAAGATTGGATGAAATCATCAAGTAGATACATTTCAAGTAGATAGACATTAGGTGCTTTTAAATATGAATTAAACCAGGATTCCTAAAACATTTCAACAATCAAAACCTGAAGAAACATATGGGAGGTAAGGCTCAGCCGTACAGCAGGTCATAATCCTATCCAACTCTGTGACCATTAATATACACAATTCATTTCCCCTATATTATTTTATATTCTTTTCTCTTGATTCTAAGCAGAGAGCACTTCTTAAATATGTTTAACAGACACAGTGCAGAACAAAATAATACTGTGTCAGCCACAGGTATGAAGTTCCTGAGTTCAGAGAGAGGCATAGGTAACAAGTTATCCAAACCAGCTGGTTCCTAATCTTTGAATATCAAGTGGCAAAAGTGTCTATTGTAAGAGATTTCTCAAAAAATCTTCAGCTCCCTAAATTCAAATGGTTAGAATTTGGATAGTAACAGACACCTATATTTTCTGTCCCCTAGATTAAGATTATTACATACTCCCTCCTTTTCACCACTGGCCCTCTGCAAGTTTTAGAGTTGAGTTAGCTACATGTAAAAAGACACTTATAAAATGTTTGTTGTCTTCGTACATTTCCTTTATCCCTTAAAATGTCCTCTCATCTATTTATCCACTTTATATCTTCCTTCATTAACCCAATATAAGTTCTCATTTCTCAGAGCTTTTTTGGAAAATCCTTCACTCTGACTTCTCTATACAATTACATTTGCTATCTTAGATTACTGTGAACTGTTTTTCTATTTTAAATATTTCAGTGTCCCAAAGTCATATGTTGATGTTTGGCATACCTACCTAGGTTGTATGTTTCTCGGGCATTCCCGTATCATGTACAATGCAAAGCTTTGCCCAAACACTTTTACAACTTCAATTATAGGTATTTTAAATCTTTCCAGGCTTTATGTTAGGCACATGAAATCACTTAGACATTTAGACTTATAAAATTACTTACATAAGATCAAAGTATCATTTACTCCATTACACATGATTTAGAAAAGAAGAGATTTGGGGATAGAGGACTTATCTTTTGGACCACAGGATGAGAAAACCTGCTAGGTAATATATCCATCATATCCCTGCCATAAACTAAACATTTTATAGATTTAGAGAATCTTCTGACATTCAGTTTTGTGTAACTAAAAACTTTCCTTTCTGAATCAACAATTACATCCACCTTAAATTCTAGTACTATACAAAATCACGACCAATTCCTGAGTTTAGTCAATCTATGGGGCTCACAGGAGAGGTAATTCAGACTGGTGTTATGATTGAAAACATCCCAAAAGTAAAACTACCCCAGATATAATTATAGGATTAAGAACAAGCTAACTAGTTTCCTGTCACTTTTTTTTTTTTTTTTACCTCTTCTCTACGAAACAGTTAGTAGAAATTCAGGGAACTATGACAGCAGTAGCAATAACTCAGAAGTTACTGCTTAGACTTCAGTAGTGAACAAAGCTTAGTCAATCACTAAAACAGAGACAAATATCCTGAATAGAAAAAGAATTGACATGGCCACAAAAATGTCTCTTTGTCAGGATATAACCTCTAGCACAGTATCTAGCAGTTAAAAGGACTCAATAAATATTTGTTGTATGTTAGAACTAAGCTGGGGCCCACTTGCAGAATTAAATGTGCCTCTAGATAATACAAAACTATAGATAAAAAGAAAAAGGAAGGGAACAGAAAGAAAAGTAATAGGCATAAAGAAAAAAGAGACAAAACAGAAGTATTTAAGGGAGGCACTGGTAGTACCTGGTATCAAGATTAATAATATCTTAGAAAACAAGAAACTAATCCATGTGCTAACATTACTTTTCATTTTCACTCAGGAAAAAAAAAACAACTTAAGTTCTCGTTTTGCTTTCATAACTTATCTAGCTCTACTCAGGAAAAAGATACATGTATCTTATAAGTTATATAATACTTCCTGAGTCAGAGCCCAATCAATCCATCAAAAGAAAATAACTTATTATAGCAATATTAAGTAGAAAAATTTATATATCACAAGATCAAGAATAAACATCTAAGTGAAATATCTGATAGTATATAAAAGCTCTAAGAAATGAGATTTTAAGTAAAATTTTTATATATTTGTAAAAATATCCCATTTGTTTCCAAGACCAGGACTATGAATTTTCAATGCACATCACACATTATATACAGATATTCTCAGTGATAATTTATTCTCCATGACATATTTACTGATGTTTGTACTTTCCAGCTATAAAAAGATGCCTACCTTATTACTTCCTGAAATCCTTTCTGTTTCATTCTCAATTTCTTGTCGAATTTCATCAAAATCCATGTAAAGCTGAAAATTATTGAAACAACACATTATTAAAATAAGGCCAAAGTTCTTAAGTGGAGGGTTGATAAATTTCAAGGATGTCTATAAAGCTGCCTTACAGAATCAGTGAACAAATTCTTATACATATATTTTTCTGAGCCAAGGAGTCAGTTTATATGCATTTTTCAAAGCTGCCTGATCCCACAACAGCTAAGAATCTCGAAATTAGAGAACAAAGGGCTCAACTTAAAAGTGTTTTCCAATGAACTTCTGTGGTTAGCAAGGTTACTACATTTTACAAGGAACAGTTGCTTCAAGTTAACATGCCACACTGCCAATGGTAAGGAACTAAATTATCAAGTACAAAAAAATTTTTTTCAACATGTTATTTCTTCATGATATTCTTGTGTGGTTACCTTATTTTTGGTGTGAAGAAATTTACCCCATTCTTCTGCTTCAACCCCTGAGAAAAGAAAAACTCCATTTATTGGAAACTATGGAAATTACTTTTTATCTTTAGTTAGGAATTCAAAAAGGCAACACATTATTTGTTCCTATTTTGCCATTAACTACAAATTAACAAGGATTTTAAGATCTGCTAAATACTTACACATTTTAAAAATTGTATCTTATATTTAAAAACATGACTAATTTCAGATAGAGTTGCTCACAGGGCTTCCTACCATTTGAAGTCTAGATTTTACTAACAAAATTGTTCACTTCTCTTCATATTCTGTATGTAATTATATTAAAAAGTATATCCTTCATGTTTAAATATCTCACACATAAAAGAAGTTTATCTGATGAAAATACTCAAGCTAATGGCTAAAAGAAGAAAAATGAAGAATCCTGGGTAACGCAAAAAGCATGTATAGTAGTTCACACTGTAACTCAAGATAAAAATTTGCAATATGTGAATGAAACAGTAACCTTTAAGTTCTTTTTTTTTTAATTTGGTTTCCTGTTTGGTTACCTATACAGTCACAATCATTGTTTCTTTAAAGAGCTCTCTCAGTAGGGAGAAGCTATTCTGTAATTTTTATACGGACTTTCAAGGTGACCCCCTCCCTCCCCCTACTCGGGGCCCAGCCTCCATTCTCCCTTGGAATTGAAAGCCGTACAGAAATTAAATGGGGGGAGGGGTGGGGGGAGAGGCGGGGGGAGGGGAAGAGCCTGGAATGTGTTCTGTGTAGGGTCACAACTCTCCAGTAGTTTCCAGTAATAGGTCTGGTCCTCTTACACTGGCTAAAAAAAGGAAAATGGATTCACTGTAGGCACTGTTTCAAGTGGTTTAAGCCTTGGAGGGCGAGTTTTTGTTCTGTTTTTCCCAAAAAGCTAGAAATGTTAAGTTGTAGAAAGGTGACCTAACTTTTAACTCCCTCAAGCAGTTTTTCTGCTTTTGCCAAATCTGGGGTTTTAAATGTCTCAATGACTGAGTTTATGAATAATGCGTTATCAGCCACCTGAAGTTAAAATAAAAATGACTGTAAGATAATTCAAATAAATGTTTATTGAGGAAAAGTGGGATCCATTCTTTGGCAGAAAAAAGTTAAAACTGGATCCTTTTGGCAAGTGAAATGCTCACCTACTTGAAGCTTAGTACCTTCTTCCAAGAAGCTCCATTGGAGGACTGGGGTGATCTGGGCGAACAGAACTCACAGAGGCAGGCACTACATACCAAAGGGCTCTTTTTAATTTACCTTATCATATAAAAGAGGCCTGGCTCCACAAGCATGTTTTCAAAAATAAAAATAAAATAAATTACATTCACCACCAAAACAAAGCCTGCATTCTGATGCAATGCCAAAAGGTAACATGAACCACTAAAACCTCAATCAGTCAATGTGGATAGGCAAATAAAAATGGAAGAAAAAAATGCACACAGCCTGTAAGAGTACATAAGCACACATGCAGGCATAATAGAAAAAGGGCCAAAAACAAATGGATAGAGGAAACCTTTAGAAAGGTGTCTTGAGTTTTTCCATGTAGCGGGGTCTGTAGTTAAAGAGAAACAGCACAGAATGGTAAGTTTAGTGCTTATCCCTAATATTTTAAACCTTTTAAAAAAGTCAAATGTGCAGAACCCTGAACACATTTCAAATGCACATAGCATTCAATTATTCAAAATTGACAATAATTTCCATTACAATTAATTATAATTTAAGGGATGTACATATTTTACGTGAAAATGAGGCACACTGCATGTCATAATTTACTTTCCATTACAACTAACTATGTCACCTCTGGTTTCTAATTCTAGTACAAATGGGTTAAAATGAATTCACTCATCAAAAATTTGCCTTAGGTATGATGTGATAGCTGTCCATGGGAAAAGATAAACTGCCTAGTAAAAAAAGAATGTACAAAACACACCAAACACATCTTTCAAAACCTCATGAGTAACTAAATGTGTACAAGCACTTAACCAATTCTCAAAGCCTGAGCTTTATAAAGGATTATTTTCTTAAATTTAACAGAACATCACAGAAACAACTTTGGTCTTTAATCAGCAGGTTATTTTTAGACTTTGACAAAAGGAAATCTGAGGAAAGCCTGATTTACTCCTTACAACTATAAAAGATAATCATGGAGTTCAAAGTTCAAACTAAAGCACCATCCCACTCTAAAACATTTCTGATTTTGTTTTTAATAAGATTTTGACAAAGAATTCTTTCACCCTGGCAGAAGCAGGGGGCAAGCTGAGAAATACTATAATCTACAAGCTGACACCTCAATTATCCTATACAGTTGGCAGAATACAGATGCCAAATTAAGTTAATTTTCCTGATAATTAATTACATTAAACATTAAAATACTTTTGATTGACCTTTATCTAAAATGGATTATACTGCTCTAATCACCTTAGAATACAGTCCTCTTAAATTAACTTATTACTGGTAACTTAGGCCTTTGTTATATTACAAAGCCCTCTGAGGCTATAAAATCCCTACAGAAAATGATTAGAGATGGATTTTTTTTTCTTTTCTTTTTTTTTAAAGTTCTTCTGCCTGGTTCTGTTTTTTTCACCTGCTTCATTGTTCCTAATTTCCCCTGGGTTGGAGTGATCTATGACAACAAGTAGAACTGTTTATCCCAAAGATAAAGAGGGTCTGATGAGAAACTAATTATCCTAGCTATTAGTAAGACACATGAAATTTAATACTGAAAATTTATGAAATCTACTTTATATTCTAAGTAGCTGAGTTGTCATTTTAAATGAGGTTTTATTTTTTATACATAAAAAAGAAGCACTAAGCTTAGAAAAGTATATATATATGTGCATGTATGTAAAGATATGCAGATTTACTGACCAACCACCAAAAAAGGCATCAACAAAACACAGTGGACATGTAAGCAGAGAAATGCCAAGGAACTGATACTTCTGAGGCTGAAATGCACACCACTTCCTAGCCACACTGCCCACATCTGCACAGAGTTTCTAAGAGGAAGGGTATCATCTGTCCTTTGCAAGGTGACTGAAGAATGAAAAGTTAAAAGAAAGAGAACTAATTAATGCCACACAGTTTCTCACAGTCTTGGTTTAAGGTATTTGGTAAATTTGATGAAGTTAGTGGGGATGAAATTTTAAAAGTGTTATTCTATATATTTGAAGCTGGACCATAGGTTAGTCCAAAATGATTAAATTCAAGGTTCATAATTTCAATAATAAAGAATTACAGAAATGCAAAGTAACGAATAATATACCAAGAAGCTGCCTAGTATAATTAAAAGCTCCTTCATATCTTCTGGCAGTCTATCCAGAAGTATTAACTGTTAACATCTAACTTCATTAACATGCTCCAGTGATTAACTTTCTACAGTCACAGCAGAGGCACATGACAGGTTTTTTTTCCCACTTTAAAAAAAAAGAAAAGAGGAAGACGTGGCGGCAGCAGCAGCTATCACCACCGGTGCTCCTATCATGAGTGGAGGAAAAGAGGCAGAAAACACAAGTTAAAGTAACTGCAATTTCATCAATACTGTCATCCCCTCTTACACCAGAAAATAAGGCATAGAATGAAACTGCACTGCTAATAGATCTCTGCACATAAAAAACAAACATGGTACAATGCTGCGAGGGTAATTTAATAATCAGTTATTTTACAAATTTTTATAAATAAGAAAGTCTGAGCCAAACACTGAACTAAAAGAGATTAAGTATATTACTCTTGTCACATGTTTCAAACCCCACTAATACAAATATATGATTAATAGAGGATATATACTTAACAAACAATTTAAAATCCGATAAGACAGCATTTCTTCAAATTTTTTCAATTTAACCAAAGAACTGCTGTAAAGGAAAGCGTGTATTTTCTTATCTTAATACTTCACATTTACTACTCAGGGGCAGAGGAATCTTAAAATCAAAAAACAGTTACGTGCTACAAAGGTAAATAAGCCTTAGCAAGAGGACAGTAAAAAATAATTTAAAAACCAAAACTTCCTAAAAATAATACTCATCTTGAAGAGCAAAAGGTTCAAAATCAGCAGGCATCTGGTAAAACCAGAAAACAGGAAAGGGAGGTGAGATAACATTACTGTGCTGAAAAGCAAAGTCATCTTAATTTTTATTTAAAATAAAAATCTTTAAAATAGAATCTAAATTATTTAAATTCTAAATCAAACTTAAAAGCAAACACGTTATTTTAAACACTAGGAAAAAAAGTTGAGAACATTCCAAAAGACACAAAAACTTTTTAAAATAACTCATTCCTGTTTACTCACTAGATCCTCCATTAAATAGCATTAACAACAGTTTACTAAGCTATATGATCAAAAAGGTACTATTCCAAGCAAGTTTACTCGTCGTCCTCAAAATAACAAAAATGACATTTTTTTAACACAAGAAAAGACAGATGCACATCACTTCTCTTCACAGGACTTCTGATTTTGCTACAGCCACTGATTTGTCTTATCAATTTCAAGATTCGAGCAAAAATGGATAACTTTAAAATTTTTCTTATTCCAATTGTGAAATTTACCATTTTCTTCTCCTGTTGTTTTTCGTTGATCTTCGGGTGAAACATGGACTAGCTGCAGAATGAGGGGTCTCCGGGTGACGACACCAGTGCCTCTGGGGAGCAGGTCCCTCCCCACCAGGCTTTCTAGCACTGAGCTCTTTCCACTGCTCTGAAAACAGAATATACAAGAGCAAAATGAATCTCTTAACAAATTTTTTTTGTAGCTCTGTAAGACTATATTAACAAAGCAGCATAAAAAGAACTTATTTTAAAAAGAAAGTTTAGCTATATTTTGTTACATGATCTTTATTTCCTTAGGATAAAAAAACCCAAAAGGAGAGAACATAAAAAAAGCCCCACTTCCCCATAATGTTCCTTTATTTTGATATTCTCCCAAACAAGTTTTCAAAACCTATGTTAATATAGGTAGAAATAAAATCATGCCTGTAACATGTAGATATTTTTAATGGGGTAGTACTACATACATTTTTCTCTAACTTGCTTTATTTTTAATTTATCAATCAGGGATATCAATTCATATAATATATTAATTTCTGTGTTTAGTAGTTAAATAGTATTCTATGTGAAAAGCCAAACCCCAGTTGATGGGCACTTAATGCTGCAATAACCCAACTTTGTACACATAACCTTACTCACTTATACTACTATCTCATTAGATTTAGTCCATTAAATTAACCGCTGTGACTAAAGAGCAGGCCGATGTTAAGGATCCACAGACACTGCCAGACTGCGCACAAGACGGCAGGCACCAAACTATACTTGGCCTTCCCCAAGGTCACTGCCATTACCACTGTTTTGAAACTTTGCTACTTTGACAGATTAACACTCAGGTCGTTTAAATTTGTGTTCCTTCATTATTCAAGTCAACCATCATCTAAGGGCTTTCTGTATTTCTCCTTCAGCAATTTGCCTGTTCAAATGCTGTCATGTTACATTTCTTACTAGTTCATAAAGGTTTTTATCCAGATAAGTATTTCATTTTTTGTTGTTCTATTTCCCAACTTTTTATTTTGTGAATTCCAAAGCCAAAAATGAGTTGCAAGAATACTGACAGTGAATAGCCATATACCTTAACCTAGATGTAGCAATGAATAATTAAACACACTTGCTTTATGCCTTTTCTTACACACACACGCACACGCAGTTTCTTCTGCTGTCCTGTCCCATATGAGTAATAAATATACATGTTTTTAGACACTTCATCCCTAAATGGCATATCTCTAAGAATACAGGCATTCTTCTATATAACCACAATACAATGATCACACCCAGGAAATTTAAATAGATACAATACCAATAAACTACAGATAATCAAATAAAGTGTAAACTTAGGTCTCATATATTTTTAATGTTCATAAATTTGTTTTCCTTTGTAGTTAATATATTTTTCTGTAGAGAATACTCTTTTCGATACTGTTTTTCTTAGTATTTAAAACAAGTATGTCTTTCCATTTCATATTCTCTATAAATGTAAAAACCCTAAACCCATCTACTTCATCAGAAAGGGTCTACAGGAAGCGGACTGCTCAAGTTAGGTTAATTTAAGGAGGGTTTATTTACAAGTGGGCTATGTACAAAGCTGTGGATGAGGCTTAGGCGAATGACAAGGGATGGTGCAATGACCCAGGCCAGCAACAACAGAGCAGCTCTTACCACCCACAGGCCCCCAGGGAAGGGCTAAGATGTCTGAGAGAAAGGAGAGCCTCCCCACAGCCCCTCCACACAGGAAATGAGCCACTTTCCAGGGCTCCCCATTTCCAAAAGCAGTAAGAAGCCAGAGGACACGGGGCCCGTTCACGTTGCCCAGAAAGGTCCCCTATGATAGAGAACAGGAATGTGGAATGGATACGAATGGGCCAATTGAGAATTATGTGGCCTATCTCGTGTTGCTAGGTTTTCATGGCCAGGTTTATCCCCTCTCATTACGTAAAACGGGGGCCTTTCCATCCTTTCTTTTCTGGACTCTGAAATAACTTAACCAACATGGAAATTTCCTGTTCTTTATGTTTGATAAAAACCTGTCTGTAAAATGTAATTTTCCTGGATTATCTAATTCATGGACTTAAGTACTTATAATATTCTTAGAAATGGTTCATTTTTCTATTTCTAATTATTTTGTCTTTATGTTTTTTCTTAGATTGTCCAGTTGACATTGATTTTAGTCAAATCTGTCTTTTGATTTCATTTTGTAATTTTTTTTGGTACTGTTAATTTCTTCTTCCTGTTTTAGTGTTGTTTCATTTTTCTGGGGAATACAGGTTATGTATTCTTCTTTTTAAAAAATGCTGAGTTGAATGTTTAGCTTCTTTCTCCATCTCGCCGACCAACACGTGCCCTGTCCATCCTACGCACACATACGCCCCCGAGTCTGAGTTGCTGCTATCTCCCTTCTTCTACACAGAGGATCGTAGCTCTCAAGCACCCAGTTCATGACAGAATCAGAGTACACACATTTACTCATTTGCTTATATCACATTACACACACAGCCTCCAAATAATAATACCAATACTACCACCACCAATGTTACTGAAAACAGTTTTCAAATTGTTTGGCATATGATCCCTCCATCTGCCTTTCCCACCTCTTTACAGACCATACGCTCCCCTTCAATCCTCATTTATTCTGCTCTGCAAGTGTATGAGTGATGCTAACCATTACTAAAGGTTAATCAGTCCTTATAATTAATGTCTGTAGTCATTTTGATTCTCTGAAGCTTGTTCTCTAACAGATTCCTCAGGAAGGGCTAATGGAAACAATATTCTTCAAGTTCTAGCATACTGGTAACAGCTATGACTTTTATATTTGAAAATGAGTTTGATTCTATACAAAATCTTGGACCCAGACTTCCTGAGTACCTTTTATATGAATTCCATAATTGTATCTTCTCTAATAAATCCTCTCATAATAATGTCATTTCTCATCAACTGTTACTTTCAAAAAAGTGTAATAATATTCTGATTTTCATTCTAAGAGACTGTGACTTTTGCCTGCATGTCTAATGAATTTTTATTCTTCCTTTTAAAGTCCAATAATTTTAATAGACTATATTGGTCTTTTCTGTGTCAATGTTCTCAAGTAATGTGCTGTTCTTTTTCAAAATAGGGTTCCAAATCTGTTTTTTTTTTTCCCATGCAAGAGACTTTATTATCTGAAGGAGAGAGTGGATTCCAAATCTGTTTTTTTTTTTCCCATGCAAGAGACTTTATTATCTGAAGGAGAGAGTGGCTGCACCAAACGGGGGTGGGGGGGGAGAGAGAGAGAGAGAGAGAGAGAGAGAAAGAGAGAGAGAGAGAGAGGGAGCAGCAGAGAGGGAGAGAGAGCAGGGAGAGCAGGGGGACAGAGAGGCAGAGACAAAGAGAGAGAGGGCAGCAGAGACACACAGAGAGAGAGACAGATAGAGACACAGAGACAGAGAGAGCAGCAGAGTGAGAGAGAGAATGACAGAGAGAGACAGAGTGAGAGAGACAGAGAGAGAGAGAGAGAGCGCGACAGAGAGACAGAGAGCCCAAATCTGTTTTTAATTCAGTTTGACTGTAATGTTTAGTTTATGTTCTAGCTCTTGCTATCATTTTTTTCTCCTTTGGGAATTCTTACTATACATATATTGGATCACCTTTGCCTGTTTTCAATGTCAGTTTCCTTCAAATTCTTTTAATACTATTTCTTATCCTTTTTTTAAAATGTCCTTCTCTTTTGCAACATCTTTCTCTCGTAACAGGTAAGGTATTGTCTGTTTATCTGTTCTAGTATTCCTTCTATGTCTTCACTTCTAAAATAAATTTCCTTTCATTTCTAATACTTCACTAAGTTCCACAAACCTACTTTTTAAATTTTCTCTTAGGCAAACTTGCTTTTTGAAATACCTTGTTCTAATTATAATGTCTTTTGTCTTGCCTTCTGTCTTAATATCTAATAGTTTACATCTGTTTTGTACACGTCTTTCTGGTGTGTTCTTATTGCCGACAGGGATGCTATTGTGAGTCATTTTTCTTTAAAAACTATTAAATTTGATAAAAATAATTTCATATTGCAAAGATTTAAGTGAAATTGATTTGCCTGAACTTTTAGAAGGAGGTGTGACCTAGAACAGCCATTCTAACTTCACACTCTGAAACTCCCTCTTGCGATTCCACATACTGTTCAAAAACATAGTCATTTGCTTTCTGAGATCCGTTCGCTCTGCTCTGCTCCCTCCCACCACTTTCCTGTGGACCTTCTCCTTCCTGGGTCTGCACTCCTCAGGGTATCCTCGACTGTGCTTTCAGTTCCTCGTCACTGCGAGGACTGGTCCTGGAAGGGAGCTTCGGCTCGTTAGTTTTAAAAGTTGCATGAAGGTGCTCCAGGTCCTTCAGACTTTACAACGGACCTCTTTCACTCACCCAGTATCAGTGTGTGCAAAACCCCTCCCAGTTTCAGCTGGCGTTCTTAAACTGGCCCTCCAAGCTTTCCAGGGATTGCCTTTTGGCTATTTTTCGATTCTCAGATTCATCTGAAGTTCCTCTGCTTCCTTCTTCTTCCTACACGGATAATAATACACAGGTCTTGGAGCTGTTTGTGGTTTGTCCCCAACCTACTGGTATTTTAGGGTTTGTGGAAAAACATGGTCAACTAATTTTCTTGTAAATGTTGTTCATGGATTTTTGTTTTCTGTATCCTATTTGTTCTATTTTTGTGGAAAAGTCACACAGAGGTTAAAAAACTGTTCTACTATTGCTGTGACCATCCAAGAATCCCTAGTATGGAAATTTAAACCACTTAGAAATACTGAAACTGTTTGATCTTATTTAAGTGTCTTTATATTAACCAGCAATAAAAAGAATGAAAGTAGCAATACATGCTACAACATGGATGAACCTCAAAAACATCATGTTAGGTGGAAAAAGTCAGTCACAAAAGACCACATACTATTTGATCCTGCTTACATGAAATGTTTCAAATGGACAAGAACGTAGATTAGCTTCTCCGAAAGCACCTGCCTAGTGCTGGGGGCAGAGGGAAATGGAGAATGACAACCAATGCAATCAAGGTTTCTCTTGGGGATGATGAAATAATCTAGAGTTAGATTATGGTGATGCTTACACAACTCTACCAACATGCTAAAAACTACTGAATTATACATTCAAATGGGTGAACCTTATGGTATATAA